GCGGAGAGGCCGCAAAGGCGCACTCCGATCCAGAGCCTGTATTCCAGGTGGCGACCAAGGACTCTGTCGGATTGTGGGCAAGAGAGTCAGGTATCTCCCCAAGCTCCATCTGAAATCTCAGTGGGTCCATCAGGCGCCTGGGGCAGAACCATTTAATCGGCTCCACCTCCCTGCGGTGGGGGAGTAGCTTCCGAAAGTCAAGCCTCAGCAGGAAGTGATCTGACCATGACAAGGGCGAGGTCTCTATTCCCCTTAGTTCAAGATCACGTCTCCACTGTCCCGAGAAAAACACAAGGTCGAGCGTGTGTCCCGCTCTATGAGTCGGACCCTGAATTACCTGGGTCAAGTCCATGGTTGTCATGGAAGCCATGAACTCCTGAGACCCATCAGAGCATTCGCCTAGCGATGGCAGGTTGAAGTCCCCCAGTACTGGAGAGAGATAGTGTCGTATCCCCCTCCCCCTCTGTGGAGAGAGTGCTGTTCAGTTTAGACAGAGATGGCCTCTGTGACCCCTCTTTCAAACCACTTCCCATCGGTCAGAGCTGAAGAAGCTTCTTGGATGAGAAGCGAAACATCTTCAAAGGAAAAGCAGAACGTCCAGTTGCCTCTTGAAAAAAAAGCACCTTTGGGACATTGTTCACCTAGCTTCAAAGGGTAGCTGCAGGGGCTCCTCTGAGGGACAGAATCCTCCAAGATACTTAGTAGTGGAATAGCACCTTCTAAAGGTCTGGCCAGCAGCTCCTTTGCTTAAGGGGGAATCTGAGGTGCCCCCCAGTCCCTGGGAGATGTGCGGGAAATGAGGCTCCCTTAGCAAGAGCAGGGAGATTCTCTTGCGTTTCTCAAAGACCTCTTACACCTCCATCAGTTTTGAAAAGAAAAGGGAAGTTATGCGGGCAGTTATGATGTCAAATGTAACCATGCTTCACTTTGCTTGTTATCTATGCATGCTTCAGATCAGGTATATGCAGGTAAGTTTCTCACTGTACGTGAGGAGGGGTCTCTCTCCCCTTCCCGGGTCTTTGGATGCTAGAAAAAGTGCCACTTAGTGACCCTGGGTCCAACATGGAGTCCCACATGCCAGTGAGCTCCTGCCTCAAGAATTAAGAGTGCTGGGAGCTGCCAGGGTGTCCTGATCAATTTCAACCCTTTGTTTGAAATCCTTCTCTAGTTGCCTCCCAGATGTTATTGATAGTTGCTGTGAGAACCATTCCCGATGTGCTGAATTGGACTTGGCCTTTGTGGGCCCCTCTTTTGTCCATTCTCCGCCCTTCACACAATCTCATAGTTATAGGCGGCAGAGAGAAGGCCAGCAGCAGAAGCATTGGCCTCCACTGAATATTTTGCAGCCTCGCTTTGTTCATTGATAAGCCCACCTGTTCTCCAAGGTCCCTCCTTACCTTTGGACGGACGGCCTGGGAGAGTCTGACTGGGAAATAACACAGGGGGGTGGGGTTGGGGGGGTGGAAATCGCTCTTCTGGTAGTAGGTGCTGAAAGCTCTGGTGGATGAATAAACACCCGATTCCCCCAAACTCCCTCCTGACAGTTGAGGATGAGTTTGGATCTTTCTCAGCCTCCTTGGCCTTTCATTATGGCTACCCTCAACTCAGGTGTCTTCAGCCCCAGACAAATGGTCCGGCTGAGAGGCCATGGCTGACTCTTTTCCAAGGAAGGACAATATAGCTTGGCCCCCTCGTGGGCACCTCCCCCATCATGAAGGCCACAAGCAGAGAGGCGCAACAGGATGTCAAGCAGGCAGAGGGGGTCTCTCGGGCCTTGCCTGAGTTAGGGGGAGCCCTTCTCCAGCCTGGCCTCATGCTGTCCCACCCTTATTTTTTTCCCTCTTGGGGAATCCCTCCATCTTTCAGTAGAAAATTCTCTGTGAGCTTCCTGGAGATCCATCCGTCCAGATCATCCCTGTCTTGCTGTGTCTTGCTGCTTTAGAAGATGCAGCCCAAGGGTCAGGGAGATCCTTCAACTCGATATCTGCCCCACATCATGACCTGCCCCCCCCCAATGAGTGTTTCAGTGAGGCAGATGCAGACCAGTGGAGGCCCATGGGAAGGCCCTTCCTCCCCATCCCAGGGCCACATCTGTAGGCGGGGTGGGAACAGTTTCTGCCCACCATCCCAGAGCCAGGTCAAAGCTGGGCATCCATGATGGGAATGCTGGCCCATTCCACCCTGGGCTTTAGGGTGCCAATTTTTTGTGCTGCTTCCTATAGAAAATGGGCATGACAGAAGATGACAAGAGGAACTGCTGCTTGTTAGAAATCCAAGAAACAGAAGCCAAGTACTACAAGACACTGGAAGAGATCGAGAAGGTGAGTGAGGGGCTCTTGAGAAAGGTCAGCCAGCGTCAACTGCTCTTTCTTTGGAGGGAAGACTCCAGCATGCGTCCAGGTTTTTCTTGTTTAAGTGTGAAGTCTTACACTTAGGCAAGAAAAATCAAAAGGACACATGTAGACTCGGGGGAAACCAGGCGTAATATCAGTGACTGTGAGAAGGATCTTGAATTCTTATTGGACAACCAGCTAAATAGGAGTCAGCTGTGTGCAGTGGCAGCCAAAAAAGCAAACGTAATCCTAAATTGCATGAACAGAGGGATACAATCAAGATCAAGGGAGGTACTACTATCACTCTATAAAACCTTAGTAAGATCCCACCTCGAGTTCTGCATCCAGTTTTGGTCATCAGACTATAAAAAAGATGTTGAGACTCTAGAAAAAGTGCAGAGAAGAGCAACCAGGATGATGATGGGGCTGGAGGCTCAAACATACAACAAACAGTTGCAGGAACTGGGCATGACTGGTCTAGTGAAGAGAAGGACTAGGGAAGACATGAGAGCAGTCTTCTAGTATTTGAGGGGCTGCCACGGAGAGGAGGGGGGGGGTCAAGCTAGTTTTCAAAGCACCTGAAGGCCAGACAAGCAATAATGGATGGAAACTGAACAAGGAGAGATTCAAACAGAAACAAGGAGGAATTTTCTGACAGTGAGAACAATCAACCCGTGGAACAGAAGTTGCCTTTGGAAGTTGTGGAAGCTTCAGCACTGGAGGCTTTCAAGAAGAGACTGGGCTGCCCTTTGTCAGAAATGGTGTAGTAGGGTCTCCATTTTGGGGGGGGGCAGTTGGGCTAAATGACCTACAAGGTCCCTTCCAACTCTGTTAATCTGTGACCTGGAGTGGAATCGCTTCTCAGAATATAAAGGTCAGACTTTCAGATGTAGAAAGGAGCGTCATAAGTAGAAGACTGCAGCCGCCTTGTTTAGGTGTTTAGATGTTTATTAACATTTATAGGCCGCCCTTTTCCCTGAGGGGACTCAGGGCGGCTCACATAAAAATCAGGAAGGGGAATACAANTCTCTCTCTCTCTCTCTCTCTCTCTCTCTCTCTCTCTCTCTCTCTCTCTCTCTCTCTCTCTCGCGCGCGCGCGCGCTGTCATAGTCCTCAGAGGCCACCTGGCGGTCCCGGGAAGCACAGAGCGGGGCAGAGGCCTTGCCAGGGCTCCTTCCCCTGCCCAGCTCAGCTTGGCTCTCGGTGGTTGGCTTGAAGAGCTGCTTGGCAAGTGTGGCCGAATACCCTGCCTTGGCAGTGGAAGCCAGCAGCCTCGGGGAGCCTTGCTTGGTCAGCAGCTGGCATTGCCCCTCTTCTCAAGAGAGCAGGCATGTCCCCAGCCCCCTTTCCTGGCTGCCGGAGGGGCAAATGTGGCCCTCAAGGGGCTCCTCTGTCTTTAGTGACTGGGCTGTGATGTCCATCTGGAAGGCAGGTGGACAGTCAATATTAGAAAGGGTACATTATATAATGTAAAAGGATTTTCTCAGGGAGATTTTATTTAATATTTAGATTTGAGTGGTGTGCTGGCCTAGAGGTGAAGCTCTCACCTCACATTCAGGAGGTTGTGAGTTCGATCCTAGGTGGAGGCAGATATTTCTCTCTCTTAGCACAATGAGAATATATCTGCTGAATTCTGCATTGGACAGGAAGGACATCCAGCCAGTAAACACTCAGCTCCCTCCACCCTGCAAGGGATTATGGGGTCATTAAAAGACGATTATGATTTTATTTAATATTTAGACTCCACTACTGCTGTACTCCAAGGAGGTTTATTTTGCGCCAGCATTAAGTCGGGGGTCGGGGGGTCAACGTCTCTGTCCTTTAAAAAATTAGTGCTGATTGCTTTGGTGTGACCATCCCCTGTCAGCAGCCGCTGGACTTTGTCACACCCATTTCTGGCCAAAATAGATGTTTGAGATTTACATTCTGGTTAATATTTTGTTGTCACGGATACACATTTAAAGGTGGTTTGTTCTCTTTCTTTATTGTTCGAGAATGGTCCATAAATCAGGACAGCAGCAAGAAAGAAAAATCACTTTAGTATCTATTAAATATTAATGGAAAATTAATAACAAATCACAGAAAAACAGCAGAAACACATATTAAATACCAGATGGCCATAGATTTAAACCATAATTATGAAGCAGGGTTGAGTAAAAGATAGATCAGAAACTAGTCAAGGCATAATCAGTGGTAAAAGCAGGCAGATGAATTCTTAAATTACCTCTTTCCCACCATAAGAAACTACAGCATTCTAAATAGAAACCCCTTCAGGGGAATAAGGCAGTGGCTGCCCCTTTGGCCCCAGTCTCGGGATTGCAGAAAAAGGAAGCAGAGCCCAAGAATCACAAGCCTCTTTCCCTCAAACAAGAAGGTTGCCCACCTGAGTGGCCATCACCCTCTTTGGCCAGAAGCAGAAAGAGTCCATTCTTTAGCCTGGAGGCCTGGCTGGAGCAGCTCCTTTCTGAGACCCCTGATTTCACCCACACACACCCAGATCCCACCAGGGTTGGAGCCCAGGAGCTAAGGGGCTCCCTCTGCCCCCCCCCCC